ATAGCTTCAAACTTGATGAGAAGCCAGCAAAAGCCCCGCCTCCCCAAAACAGCCCGTAAACAAGTTGTGTCAAGTGACTACAAACAGCAACGTGCACGGACCTCAAAGGTGGAAGCAGCTTAAGAAGGCAGCTGCTTCTCCCCAGAAAAGAAGGGCTCCTTACATAACCGTGAAAGCCACCCAAAAGTAATGGCTGCCAGTAGAGACCCGAGTGGCGGCTGCCCCTTAAACTACTGGGAAAGGTGCTGGGCTCCTTGAGGTCCTAGGAATGCTTGTTGTTGTTTGTTTTCAAATCTGTGCTAATTATACAACCTTATTTAGTTTGTAAAAATCGCCAAGCTACACTTATGGTCAGTTTCACTTACGCTTAGGTGTAAAAGTTATAAAAACTGATCTTGTACACACTCCTGCTAACATCTCCACCCCGCAATTACTCGCCATTGGCTTTTTTAGTTCATGTCTTCCTAGATTTTTCTGTTCATATGAATAAATATAAAGACCAACTGCTCGCTCGCTCTCTCTCCACACACACACACACTCACACGCGCACACATGCACAGCTATCTATAGCTTTACAGAAATGGCACCACATTTTACATACTGCCTGCAACCTGCTTCTTTAACTTAGCAGTCTGCTGAGGGAGCCGTTGTGTGTCACTGAGGATGTGGATGAAGTCTTTTATTGTGGTGATGTGTCATTTAGTTAACTGGTCCTTCATCGGTGGGCAGTCAACTCCGGTATCTCATTGATGTGAACAGGACAGTGGAGAACCCCTTGGTGCATAGTGTTGTGCTCTTCTGTGATTGCCTGTGTAGAATGGACTAGTCAGAGAGGAATGCCTTGGTCTGAAGTGGTGTTTTAATCTGTTAATGGCTTGTGGGTGGTGGATTGGAAGCGACTCAGAAGCCATTTAGAGTTCAAGCTTGAGGTAGCAGGGGTGCTTGGCTGTAAAGATGGACAGGAAGGGGGATATACAGTATAAGGGACAATGACTTTGCAAGCCCTGGAACACAGTGAATGAGTGAAAAAGCCTCTGTAATCCCAGGAAATTCTGAAGCTTGGTGGGGGGGTTGGGGGAACATGGAGTAGAGGCTTATTGGAAGAAGAAAGCCCTTAAAAGACTGGACTTTCTTTAGGTTGAGCCCAGGGACCTGGTTCTCTTCCATATGGTGATGAAATACAGTTTCAATAAACACAGGCTTAGGGACTGTGACTAGAGTGTAGGACTCATTTGCATAGGGTGGCTCTGAGGTTGTGGGGGAGTGATAAACCATTGATGGCAAGGAGAGAGGAAGATTAGATAGATAGATAGATAGATAGATAGATAGATAGATAGATAGATAGTAGATAGATTTTGGCAATGGCCTAATGTATGTCAAAGCCAGAAGGGCTGTGAACAGAGGCAATGGCAGGTGAAAACCCAGTAAAATTCACTATCAAAGACGTCAAAGAAAGACAGAGTCCATAACTCCAGCTCAGCTAGTAAAGCAGTCAGTGTCCTAAGTTAGTCCCCGTCTCTGCTGACCACCACGGATGTGCCATTACGTTCTGGCTCTTCCCAGGACTTAGCTTACCTGTGATTAATCTGCTTTCTGCTTTCTGCTCTCAACAGTGAGGTCACAGAGCCAGGGACCAGGCCACTTTGGCTCCATCTTCTAGTCCTCAGTCATCGCTGCCTTCTGTCCCTTCCCCTTGTCTCCTCCCCTTCCTCTAATAAATTGGGAGGGGGGACTTAGGATCCTGGGGGAGAAAATGCAGACTATACAGTCTGAATTGAATTTGGGGTACAGCAAAGATGAGTGCTTAGTGAAAACTAGGACATCCATACTCAGTTTATCAAACAAAAGGGTGACCAGCCCTGAGGGTAGCCAGTTGCACTTTTGGTGTCCAGGGTCTACAGAACACAAACTTTGAGCTCCACAATGGTAATTGTGTAAGATGGAAAGAGTTCTTTGCCCCGTGTTCATTACCTCTAGAAAGCCTCTTCCATGCTTAATCTACCAGGTAGTGACACTTTTGTCCCCGTTATCTGTGGAGGGGATGGTTGTCCCTGATTCCAGTGACTGTGTTCATGCTTTCCTAACTTCCCTGACTAAAAGCCACCTATCCTGATGTGATCTTTCTCAAGGTTAGACTGGAAGATGTCTCTTCTCCCAGAGGGGGGTTATGAGGAGGGACATTGTCTTCCTAGGGAACAAGAGCCTGAGACAGCATCAGCAACAGATGACTTATGGAGGAGTTGAGTAGCTGAGGTTAGGTGATGAACACTCCTGGATTGCTTGGGTACAGAGAGTCTCCAGGTAGAAGAGTGTAGCATGTGTGTGCAAACATCAGCAAGACAGCTGAGCAGGGTAAACTGGGAATGTCATGAGGTCATCGTCTCTCTGTAATGACTGTGGCACTTCTGAGTAGCATCTCCTGTATGCCAGGCATGGTGGCAAAGATTCCGTCATCAACCCCTTACAGGCTCCATCCTCCTAAAGAACCAGACTCCCTGTTTCCTGAATCCCACTGGCGTGAGGCGCGGGAGCCTCCCTGTGAGGCTCCTTGAGGACTACAGGCTGGCACAGACATGAAATACATCCTGGCCTCCTCAGCTCTGGGGACTGAACTGTTTGCCATGCATGACTCTGTATCAGCCTGTGAGGGTGACATGGAGGCAGGGCTCAGGGCTGGGGATTAGATGCCCGGGAAGGTGATTTAAGCGTGTCTGTAGGTGTCATGGATCTGAAGCCTCAGGGAGGGATTGTTTGCCCCTGTGCATGACTGCACTTGGCCTGCACCTGCTCGTGTGTAGAGGGACACCTCTCTCACCTGGTGTTTCTGGATCTGTCCACAGCTCTGCACAGGAACGGGAATGGAGATGACTGGTTAGAGAGAAGCAGGCTAGAGAAAATGAATGCAGACAGGAACACACATGTTCCTAGACACTGGTGACACACAGAGAAATGCATATTGCTACCTCTTCAGTGAGCTTTCTCCAGTGGGTGGGTGTGGGCCTTTTAAGACTGCACGTCTGAGCCGGGCGTTGGTGGCGCACGCCTCTAATCCCAGCACTCAGGAGGCAGAGGCAGGTGGATCTCTGTGAGTTCGAGACCAGCCTGGACTACCAAGCGAGTTCCAGGACAGCCTCCAAAGCCACAGGGAAACCCTGTCTCGAAAAACCAAAAAAAAAAAAAAAAAAAAAAAAAAAAGACTGCACGTCTGGTGTGCTGAGTTACCCTCAGACACATTGGACAGCGGCTAGAGACCCATAGAGACACACGAGGCACTCAGATGACACAGGTACGCACCAGGTAGCTGCTCTCAGACACAGACAGCAGTGTGGAAACACACACTCATATGGATACTTAGATTCCTTGCATTTTTGGGAGCATATTTATATGTGTTTCCATGACTATGCAGGCATTTCTGCATCCGTACACCAAGGACACATGTAGGAGACAGGAACACGTGAGCACACACTTTGGCAAACATACGTAGCTTTGATATCTCTGTGCATGCACATATGAGACTCGGATGAGAAGCCCTGATACCATTACAGTCCTGGGAAGAGGCCAGCAGATGAGGCTGGGGGTGACTTGGCCCACCTGGCAACAACATGCCAACAGGGATCACATGGCTGTATTCCCCAGTGAGTCAGTCAGCGAGCTCTCACTGATGAAGTCTGTGAGGTCTCCAGGCCACCTCCAGATTCTGGAGTGCTGTGGGAAAGGTCTCATAAAGAATCCACCCCACCCATAGTGAGCCATAGTGTCTGTGGGACCGGGAAGTCTTACCACGAATTATCAGGCCACAGGCCTCTGAGGGAGATCTTTTGGGAGCATATTCCTGCTCCTCCTTACTGGCTCTGTGAACCAGTCCCTGAGGTGTGCCATTGTCCTCTGACTGAAGGAGGGTGAATAGGAACCTCAGGTTTATGGACTCCTGGGGGCACCATGGTCTACCCAGCAGTCACCAGTTGGACACCCACAGTGAACACTGTTCTTGGCTCGGAGGCTTCCATTGGTGAACACACCTCTGTGGAGGCTGGCCAATAAAAAGCTATCACGTGACCACATCGGGTGGTCAGCACCAGGAAGAAACCTAAACAGGCTCTTAGGCAGAGGGGCTGACTGTGGAGGGGCTGGGTTGACAGGAGCTGGTTGGAGGCCTTCAGAGAGAGAGAGAGAGAGAGAGAGAGAGAGAGAGAGAGAGAGAGAGAGAGAGAGAGAGAGAGAGAGAGAGGGAGAGGAGAGAGATCACTGTGTCTCAAGACGGAGGCAAAGAAAGGCATGATGGGAAGGAATTGCAAGCACAAAGGCCATTTTGTTTCATCAAACCCTGCAGCTCTCCCATTTTACAGATAAACAAATGGAGACCCAGGGAGGCTGAGCCAAAGAGAAAGGCATTCAGGATTGGAGTCCTGCCATGTGGCTTCAAAGCCAGTGATCTTGGTGATCCTCTGGGTGGGTGAATTTGTTCTCTGGAGAATAGTTAGCAATGCCTGGATACATTTTGGTTGGCACACCTGGACTGGGATGCCACTAGCATCTAGTGACGATGGCTAAAGATACTGCTAGGGATTCCATAGTGAGCAAGACAACACCAACAGCATGGCAGGATGCTACCTACAGAGCCAGTTCTCTGGCATTGAGAGGCCCTGGCCTGACCTTGCAGAGCCCTTGAAAGAGCATGAATCATGGTAGGTGCTTAATGATATCCGTAGAGGACAAGGGGATCAATGGAGAAGACCGCAGGGGGAGACAGTGTGCAAATAAGCCTATCTGTTAACCGAGCTTGAGAGGGTGTTGCATGCTGGGTAGCTATGAAGAGCATCCTGTGCCCCAGGGAGACTGGGTACAGGTGAGCCAGTGGGTTTGAGGACATTGGTGGGCTGGGTTAGGGCTAAAGCCTGGCTGCCCTCAGCCTCTGAAATGCTAACCAGACAACTTCGTTCTCTGTTCCTCCTCCTCCCCGTGTCTCTCCCCGTCTCTCTTGGCCCTGTGCTCAACAGCAGACAGCCGGAGGCTGAAGGGTGCCATTCAGAGGAGCACAGAGACAGGACTGGCCGTGGAGATGCCCAGCCGGACCCTGCGCCAAGCCAGCCACGAGTCCATCGAGGACAGCATGAATAGCTATGGCTCAGAGGGCAAGTGAGTGTCGGGTCTCCACCTCCCTGCAGCCTTCCTGCTCCCTATCTTCTCCCTGGGGGAGGGATTAAGCAAGCCTGACTCCCAAGAACCCTTAGGCCTTGGCCAGTGGGATGTTGACTAAGCCTCTAGGGCCTTCAGATGACATGGGTAAGAGCCTAAGCTTTGCGCTTGATCCCAGCTCTACCACTTTGAATCTGTGTGACCTTGAACAGGGCACATACTTGAACCTCAGTTTCCTTATCTGTAAAATGAGGCAATAGCATCAACCACCTTGGGATTGTGGCGGCTAATGTTAGCTGTCAATTTTGCAGGCTATGGAATCACCTAGGCCTCCAGGCACATCTATAAGGAATTATTTAGTCTCTGGCCACGCCTGTGGTTTAATGGGATTGGGAAGACCCACACACAAAGTGGGCAGAGCAATTCCCTGGGTATGGGTCCTGGACTGTGTAAAAAAGGAGACAGCTAAGACTGGGCATGGTGGCACCTGTCATTAATTGCAGCACTGGGGAGGCAGAGGCAGGAAGATTGTGATGAGTTTGAGTTCCAGGACAGCCAGGGCTATGTAGTGAGACAGAGAGAGAGAGAGAGAGAGAGAGAGAGAGAGAGAGAGAGAGAGAGAGAGAGAGAGAGAGACAGAGAGAGAGACAGAGAGAGAGAGAGAGAGAGACAGAGAGAGACAGAGAGACAGAGAGACAGAGACAGACAGAGACAGAGAGACAGGGAGAGACAGAGAGACACAGAGAGAGATAGAGAGAGAGGGAGAGAAAGAGAGAGATAGAGAGAGAGAGAGGGAGAGAGAGAGAGAGGATGCTAACTGAGCACTGTGAGGAAGCAGCTGTGGTCCTGTGTTTCCCGACTGTGGGCACCATCTGACTAGCTGATTCAAGTACTGCTGCCTGAACGTCCTGCGGTGGTGGTCTGTACCCTTGAGCCTTGAGCTGAAATCAATCCTTTCTCCGGTAAGCTGCTTGTGTCACAGTGTTTTATCAAAGCAGCAGGAGGGAAAAAAAAGACATGGATGTTGTGAGGATTAAGTGTTTACAATCTTTGTGGTCCTGAGTTAATATGTATAGAGAGCACAGGACAGTGCTTGGCACTTGCTGCATACCTACTGTATACCAGAAAGGAGTCGCCGGGGTTCAATAATACCTCATTATTGTTTCCTTTTTCTTTAGTTTTTAAAACCCCAGCTGGGTTTTAAAAATACAAACTAGGGCTTGATAAGACTCATGTATGTCAAGCCTTGAGAAGTCTGTGCTGCCTGGCTTCTCGCCAGAGTTTCCTCTGAGACTGCTCACCAGGATATGCATACGTGTTACAAATGCAGATGACAGGCCTCTGCATCCCAGCCACCAGATCAGTGTGGCTGGGAGGGAGCTCAGAAGTCAGCTTTCAATCTTCTGGAGGAACCCATCTAGGCTAGGGGCTTCACCTTTATGGAGTCCTCAGAAAACTAGGGGAAGTTTGGGGTTTGCCTTCCCCATGAACACACCTGCAAACACACACACACACACACACACACACACACACACACACACACGGGTGTGCACCTGCATGCACTCCCACAGAGTCCCACAAACCTACTCTTCTTAGATTCCCCTTATGCCCATTCTTGAACTAAGAATCTTAGATTCAAAATAACTCCATACTGTACAGATGGCCCAGGACTCAGAGGGGTTTGGAACCTTGCCCAGGGCCACACAGCCACTAATCTGTGGAAGGCAAGAGTCCTCATGCCAGCTGGAGCTCACTCCACACCACCACATTGCTTCTTTTTTCCAGTTGTCCTTTGAGACAAGGAAGGGACCTGGGGTGTCTGTCACATTCCGAGGAAATTGAGGCTTGGGCAAGTTGAGGTCTGTATTATCTATCTGCACAGGTGTCTGCTGATGTGGCTATGGAAATGTAAATGAACTGAAATTAACTAAACCATCATGCTCCTCTGTCATGCTAACTGTATGCAAGTCCTCCTGGCGGCACGTGGTTCATGGCAGCTGTATTGGCTGGGGCAAGAAACAGAACACTTTGTCTTCCTGGGGGTTTTGCTGGTGCACTGACTGAGTGGCTTGCCCCTCACGGCTGGGGACTAGGTTCAGACTCCAGCCAGTTTGGGGTGGGAAGGGCCCAGCCTCTGCCCTTCATCTCTGGTCTGCCTCAGCTAGGACTCCTGCTGGCTAAAAGCCTTGTCCACCACCCCCATACTGGCCATCTCTGGCCTTATGAATGGCCTGGTCTTGGCAGCGCTGCTGTTCCACCCATCTCAAGGGAGCCTTTCCTGTGGGAGGGAAGACGGGTGGACGGCGGAAGGGAGAGGAGGAGAAATAGGAGGGAGAGAAGGAGGAGGGGAGAGGAGGGCAACAACCTGCATTGAGTAACCTAAGACACTTGGCAGGGCAGCCAAGCTTGGAGGAAGTTATCTAGGCACCCAGGGAATGGTGCCTTCCCACTGACAGGTGCCAGTCTGATTCAGGAGGTCTGAGGTCTAGTCTTGTCCCTGCTACTGGTACGTTGGATGTCTGTCCTTGGGTACATCTGTGATCTCAAGGCCACAAGACATTATGTTGACCTCGGGAGATTAAAAGAACCAGGTCTTGGGGAAGCAGCGTGGCGCCCTAGGTGGCAGCTGACATATTGAAGCTGCAGTCCTACATCATGGAAAAGAAAAGAAAAACAGTCCATCACAGGACTCGAGCGGAGGAAGCATAGCAGGAGGGTATCATGCGGAAGAAAAGGGGCGTTGTCTGCCTGTGGGTAGGAAGGGCTCTGCATGTCATTTGCTGAACTATGCTTATAGGGACAGAGTGTCCAACTGCACTATAGACAGGGTCAAAGTAGGCTCAGCAGTCGGGCAGCCTTGGCCTGTGGCTCATGTGTCTTAGTAGCCGTGACGCTTTGGGAAAGTTACCTCTTCTCTGAGCCATTTGCCCAATGTAGAAAGGGAGCAGTATGTCGGGCACAGAACAGGCAGTATGCCTGGTGGTGGTGGTGGCGCACCTACAAGAGTGACCCGCACACGGCTGACAGTGACAGCGGTCACCATCAGTGTTGTTTATTGTTAATTCAGCCACTGTGAGCTGTGTGTTTTCCTGTTTTGGGTCAATTGCCTCCTAGCAGATAGATGAGCCATCCAGATATGTATGAATCTACAGAGAGCGGATGAGCGCCGAGAATTTTAACTGTAGTTTAAAAAAAAAAAGTTTGGGGAGATTGGACCAAACTGAGGAAGGATCAAAGGCCTGGAAGGTACTAGTTCCAGCAGTGGGGGCAGAGGATAATAAATACACGACAACTTCATATGCCATATTGCAAGTCTGAAAGGAGAAAGGTAGAGGAACTTTGCGTCCCTGGTGGCATTACCAGCCTATGGAGCCACCCCAGAATTATCAACCTGTAGAAATCTAGACGGGGTTGACTCTTGTTGGAGGCCAGCCATGTGCTGCCACTTCACCCACCCCTGGGTGAAAAGGGGACAGGGAGTATTCATCTGTGGCCATCCCCTTCTGTCCCTTGGATGTTTGAAGAGCTGGTCAGTTGCCAGGCGCTGAAACAGGAAGGGATGTGAGTGTCCTCCCCTCTCCCCACCTCTGGGACTCTTGCCAGCCCAGCAGATGCTCACAGGGAGCCAACCTCACTCCAGGAGCCCCATAAAGCCGCTGTCCCCAGCACTCCTGTATTGGGCCACTGAGCACCCAGCTACCAAGCATGTAAAGACAGGGCTTTCCCACACAAGTTTCCATGTCAACACATGTGATTGGGCACCTGTAGAATGCTGGGCAGCTGTGTTGGCCATCATGGAAACTATGTCCTGGGGGAACTTCTAGTGTAAGGCACTGGCCAGTTATCCAGAAACCGATACAGAAAGGCAGGTGTGAAGATGGTGGCCGTTTTGATCCCAGCCGGGTCTCCAGGTAGAGAGATACATCTGTCTGTGAATGTGCTGTAGGCTCTAGGCGACAAAATGCAGTGGGTAGTGACTTCATCCCTTGCTGTTCAAAGTGTGGACTGTAGTCCAGCAACAACAGCACCTCCACCCCCGGGCGCCTCAGCCCTATCCACACTGCTGGGTCAGATCCCCAGCTGGTGTGTCAAGACACCGTGTCAAGACAGCCTGGCTTAATGGCCATATCGGCCATGTGAGTGCTGTGGAGAGGATTGGGCAGACACTGTGCCAAGGGCTTTGACCTGTGTTGACTCATTTAATCCCCACAACAGCTAGGTGGTGGCGTGAATGTTAATGGCCCCACTTACAGATGAGGAGATGCTAGGGGGTAACTGGCCCAAGGTCGCAGGGCAAAGAAACACTGAGCTGGGATTCATATCCAGGCATCTGCCCAATTACACTCGGCCCCTCCCCTCATTTCATTGTCACATCCACGAACGTTTCTGGAGGCAGAGGACACAAAGTCCCTCCCTCTTCCTTGTCTACAGGACTCCGCATGTGGCATGTTATACAAGTTGTGTATTATCTTTTGGAACTTGGAAAGAAGTTCTTTTTCCGGAGCCTCTTTCTGCCTCGACCCAGATTGGAGTTTTGTTTGTTAAGGATGGGGGGTTAGAGCCAGAGCAGGGCCATCTCACTCAGACAAAGGGTACAGGCTAGAGTTCAAGCCTGAGAAAGAGCCCCGAGGATACTAACACACACTAACTACACACATACCAACCCCCACACACTCATCCCTAGACACACATACCTATATCACATGCACACATATCTATATTCATACCTATACCACATACACACACACATACACACATATCTGCCCCTATACACACACCCAGATGAATATATCTATATCACACACACATACATGTATACACACACCCCACACACACCTACACACCTGAACATACATAGACACACACATGTATCTAGAAGTATATACCTATATCACACAAACACATACCTATACATATACATATAGCCTACATATATATATCTATACACATACCTATGCATATATATACATGCATACATGCACCATACACCACATATACAT